GGGAGGGAGGCGACAGGGTAAACAAGGAGCTATTTAATGGGTACACAGTTTCAGTTTCACTAGATGAAAACGTTCTGGAGATTTGTTGCAAAATAATGTGAATGTACACTTAAAGATGGTTAAGAACTGTGCATTTAAAAGTGGTTAAGGTGGTACATTTCTTATACCTTTTTTAAAAAACCACCACATAAAAATACATATGTAAAAGTATATAAAGTGATTCAGAGGACCAGGGCTCTAAATGAAAAGAAGTTTTAGGAATACCTTAATCAGTTTCTGCTTTTATTTTCCTTTTTATGTATACACAAGTGTGATTTTTAAAAAAATCCATGCTTAATTATGTCTAAGTAGGTTTTAATAAGTATAAAACTCCTAGGCAATAAAAACGACTTAATCCAGTCACTTTGTTCTAAAGCATCTGGTGGTATTCAGTGTCTTTTTTAAAAAAATGTATCTTTATTGTTGAAAGTATTACAGATGTCCCATTTTCCCCCATTGACTCCCTCCACCTTCCCCGCAACCTTCACCGCACTACTGTCTGTGTCCATGGGCATTCAGTGTCTCAAGTTATATGTCTGATGGGCTGGGTTCAGCCCTATCCAGAACTGTTGTCTTGAAAATGCATTATTGTAGATCTATTCCTATTTCTATTAATACTATTATTCTCAGTTAAGTTAAGCAGAAAAGGGAATTTATTAAAAGGATAACAGAACTTCTATTAAAGGGACAACATAGCTGAATATGCCCACTCCTTTTGAATCTATTTAAACAATGATTAAGGGATTCAAAATCACTTTGTTAATTTGTAAGGATAAAAAGAACTAGATAGATGCCAACATAATTTTGCAATCTACAGCATGAGGGTGAGTTAAACGGACTCTACACTAAAATGCCTGCAAAGGTTGGGGGAACAAATTTTTCAAACTTCAGAACCCCAAAAGGCTCAGTAATTGAACCAATGATTATACCAGGCAGCTCTGAAGGAGAAGGTGAGAGTATGGGTGGAGCTGAAAACAGGACGATTAGTTAAAAGCTTGTAAGAAGTTAAACTATTAAATTCCGTTCCTCAAGCCAGGGCAGCCAGAGGAGACTGCCTTTTCCCCATCCTGGCAAAAGACAGAAAGTTTCTTTTCAGGGCAGGTTGAAACATAGAGGATCTGGTCATGTTTTGAGTAGCTTATTGGGAAGGGAGGTTAGGTAAAGTCTACCTATTGAACCATGAGACCCTTTCTCATTCCCCTTTTGATTCCTCTCAGAACACAATGGCCACTAAGCTTAACCACCCTCTTCCACCATCCAATAAAGGTTTGTGGGAGGACACGACTAGGGAAACTGAGCAGCCCAAGAGGAAATACCTACAGATAATAACTGTTGAGAGTCCCTCAACTAAATGAAGTCCTGCATATATACGCACAAAGCTCCCAATATCATGCCAAATTCTATATATGCGTGAAGGTCTGTCTGAGATCCCAAGGTAACAGGAAGAGGACAGAGACCAGTGTTCAGTGCAGGATCGTAGGTGCAGGCAATGCCCTCCTGGCTTCCCCACAACCCCTACCATTTAGTCCCCGGCATCTTCATTCAGCCATGCATCCCTTATTGTGCAGTGAGCTATCAGGGAGGACATAATGACAAACCTGCCCATGGGATCCTCAATCCTGTTTTCGTATGCTGGGCCTCAGTTGTTTCCTGCAGTGAACTTTCTCCTTATCGAGAAGTTGTAACATGAGGAACATATCCATTTGAGCTCAAAAAGTCAGCAAATGAGTTAGATGCTCTCAACATTTTCCTACCCTGGATGTCACCCTCCACCCCAATGCTTAGCATTCGCAGAACATCAAATCTCACACAAAATCCTGAGAATCAAAGGTCCTAGAGACACATCCAGATCATGAAAGCAGCTAAAGAGAAAGGAAATGTAAAGACAATTAGAGTTGTGAATATACTGCCCAATTAGTCACAGAAAGTAATATAGGCCCAGAGAGGTTCAATATATCTACCCTCCTCTGATCCTTAAGCTGGATGCTTAATGTAGCTAATTCCAATTGCATTACTTATGCCCCCTTTTAAACAGTCTGGAGCAAACTACCTTATAGAGCAGCGGTTCTCAACCTGTGGGTCGCGACCCCTTTGGCGGTCGAATGACCCTTTCACAGGGGTTGCCTAAGACCATCCTGCTTATCAGATATTTACATTACGATTCATAACAGTAGCAACATTACAGTTATGAAGTAGCAACGAAAATAATTTTATGGTTGGGTCACAACATGAGGAACTGTATTTAAAGAGCCAGAAGGTTGAGAACCACTGTATAGAGGAACTTAATGAGGCATGGTTGATGGCCAGTAAGTATAGTTTGAGTGCATACACTCCATCTTCCTGTCCCAAATTTGTTGCATCTCTATCTGAATACCTGTTTCCATGATTGTTTCTGCAAGGGAAGATAGTTTGGAGAACTGGCCACCAGTTCTTAAATGCTTCTGCTTGGGAGTAACATGCATCATTTCCACTAACATTTTGTTGACCAAAGCAAGTCATGAAGCCACCTACATTCAAAGGGAGATCCAGGAAGGGGAAGAGAGCTTCAAACACTGGTCTGCTGCATCCCCCTACCACAAGAAGCTGGCCTAAACATTAATGTTGGGTTAAGGGGACGCATTGATGATTCCATAACTAGTGACGTGAGTTTTACTTGCTAAAGCAAGTGCATTGTATTCTTTGCTCTGAGGCGTATTTTTCCCTTTTCATTTTTATTGTGATGTTCTCTACTGGCTAATGTGCATTTTTATCTTGGCAGTCCTAAGCTCAGGGCTTTACCAGAAATGTCCCTGTGAAAAGGAACTTGAGGTCAATAGCAGAATTTGCTTACTCAAGCTGGCTCATCATCTATTCAGTGCCTTAATGAGGACAAGCAGG